ACAGGACGCCGCCCGCTCCACCAGCACGGCTTCCCTTCCTGGTGGAGGGGTGGGTCCACTGGTGGATCAACCAGTTTCATGGTGCTCTGGTGGTTTCTGTAATCCGCCTTCTCCCCTGCTGACTCGTTTGAGGCAGTCGTGGCCAACGGTTCAAAACATCAAAGTTCCTGCTCAATAATCCAGGTATAATAATACAACAAAGTTCAATCTTTAGGATAAAAGTCAAAATGTTTCAATCAAAAAGAAACCGTCCAGAGGACCTGACTTAACATTGTTGGATTTTTTTTACCTGGATTATTGAGCATGAACTTTAATGATACACTGAAGATACTTTGAAACCAAAGGTGTGCCATTACATTAATATTAATCTGTTTTAGTAGTGCTGAAAGATGATGAAGATGAAACCAGGATGAAAAAGTTTCCTCACTTTGAACAGCTGACGTTTGCTGAAAGCAAGAACATAAAACAGCTGAGATATGTAGAAACAGTCGAATAGTGCAGGAATGAACAGAAGAAAGTTGAGATGGGCAGAGAGGATGAATAAATTATTAAATAATCAAAAATTAACAAAAAAAAAACTGAAAAGTGCAGAAAAAAGCTTAAATAAAAAAGTAAACGAAAAGCTAAAAACTGTGGCTGAGATTAGCAAAATGTGGCTGAAAGGAGCATGTAAAGTTTAAATTAGAAAGAAAATCACAAAAGACTGAAATCAGAAAACAATATATCAGAAAACTAAAAAGTAGCTAAAAAGCAGAAACAAATGAAATCAACAGAAAGGAGCTGAAGGAAGCTGAAATGAGCAGCTAAAGGTTTTAAGCAGCTCACAACGTTTGAAGGATGTGAAGAGAGCTCCATTCATTTTCAATGAGAAAAACATGGCCGACAAAGCTAAATATTTCTTAAAGTAAACACAAATACTAAAAGTTAGAGCCGAAACGTCCTGAATGAGCCGAACGTTTTGACAGAAGCATCGCTGAAATAGAACAAAGAGTGATGAACGAGTTGTGTGCTGAAAAATGTACGGAAGAAAACTGGCTCTCGGTGGTGAGAATTATAAACATTCACACCTTGAGGTTGTGATGAACGTAAAACCGGAACTTTTTAAAGTCCACCACAGGTGAAACAACGGGGGGGGGGGGGGGGGGGGGGGGGGGGGGGGGGGGGGTGATGGTTGCTCATCAGAACAAACTGCAGATAGTCTCCCTCCCTGAACCATGATGGTTTCCTATAAATTAACAGATTTTGAAGAATAAATTGATAAATCTACAGATCCAATCATCTTCAGGTGTGACAGGGGGCCACGTCCCCGAGGAACCCCATCACTGGACACTTTTATGTGTTCAAATAAAAGACAGTTCCAGACTTTTCTGAATCAATGTGAAGAGTAATGAAATGAAAGTGTTCTGGGAGCTGGAGCTCATCTGGACAGAAAGATTTTTATTTTTCCAACATTTTCCACTTTTAGCTACTTTGACATGCACTGGTGAAGGTTTGTGGTTTTACATGATAAACAATGTTTGGTGAATAAAAAATAAAAATAAACTGATAATTTGTGTCCTTCTTTCCTTGTATTTCATCATCTTATTCGGGGGGGGGGAGTGGCACTGTGTGTGCCAACGCGTTCATCTTTCCCCTCAGAACTCTGCTAGTTACCGTTTGATGACACTTCACTGTCATGGCTCCTCCCGAAGCCTCCAAATAACGAGCTGCAATGAAGGCATCGTGATTAATTTCAGCCAGTTCAGAGCAAGCAGCCGACATTCAGCTGATAGATGAATCTTCAGCTTCACTCTGCTGAAACTGAACTCGCAGCAGCCTTCAAACCAATAAATTGTTCATTCATTCTTCATTGTTCTAGAATTGCACCGCTCAAGGTGGCTGCATGTTGGAGCAGCTCTGTTACTTTCATTCTGAGATTTTGCTTTTGGAAACTTTAATTCCTCTTTTTCTGGATGTAAATCACATTTTTTGGATGATTGTTTCCTCTAGTATCGGATGCTGTGCAGCTGGATGGATTTTTACTGAAACTTTTTTAGTTTTGGACATTTGTTATGATGTGTAACCATGGCAACAAGGCAGTTTTCCACAACCAGCAGCTGATTAACATCTCAAAAGCTCAAATAATATCTCAGCTACAGCCCCAAATCTCAAGTGAGTTGAAAAGGATGTTCTGTGGACGCATTCTCATCTACCTGCCAGCTGTGCTCGAGTGCCTGACCACTGAGATCCTGGAACTAGCAGGAAACAAGGCTCATGACAGTGGAAGGACAGGATTGTCCCTCGGCACCTACAGTTGGCTGTCCACAGCGACGAGGAGCTCGGCAGACTGCTGGGAGGAGTGGCCATCGCTCTGGGAGGAGTTCTGCCCGGCATTCAGGTGGTCCTACAGGCCGGGGGAACTGAGATGCCAGCCGAGTCTGGGTGGATGGATCGGACTGCATCTGCAGCCAGTTTCTTAGGATCCACTGTGGGATGGACCTTTACAAGAGATCCTTCCTGTCTACAGCCATCAGTATCTATAACATCTCTTAATGAAATGAGGATAACGAGTTACTACAACAAATAATTTCCCTGTGGGCTTAATAAAGTATTTTTGAATTGAATTGAATTGAATTGAATTGAAACCCCTGCCATCTGGTTCCAACCAGTTCTTGTCCGTTTGTCTCCTGGTGGACCAGAAACTGTCTTGGGTGGACCGGACCAGCCTTCACAAATACTCACCAGGTCGATCCGGACCGGCCTTCATAAACACTCTCCAGAGGTCGGTGCAGAGTTTCTGTCAGCCGACGCCTTCAGGTGTTCATGAGATACCATCATCCATGAAGTGAAGCACTTCCTGAAGATGAGGTCAGAGGACTCTGACTTCTGGGTTTCTGCGTAGACGTTAAGCTCAAATTCACAAAGAACTGCAGATCCATGATCAGCTGAAAGACTTGGAAGAGACTGGGTCAGATTAAAACCCTGACCTGGGATCAGATCTGCACTCAAATCTGGACTGAATCTGAACTTGGACTTGCAATCAGACGGACTCAGACCTGATTGTGGATTTGGATTTTTCTTTTGGCCCAGCTGTGGTCCCACTCTGGTCTGAAGGGTTGCTGGACTTGTCTGGGGTCTGGTCAATCAGCTCAGGTCCAGTCTGATAAGTTTAAAGACATGCAGGACAGAGCGTTGGCTGTTGTTTCAGCTGTTTTCAGACAGACTTGGCTGTGTGGTTGCCATGGAAACATCAGTTGTACCAAGACAGATTCTGGTTCTGATGTGTAGAAACTGATCAAAGTTCTAAAGCATTCAGAGGATGAGCCATCCCCAGCATGGTGGACCACGTCAGGGTCTCCCTCTGAGACAGGTTCTACAGAAACCAGAACAGATTTTATTCCAGAACCACTTGAAATAAAACAAAGCAGCCCAGTTCAGACTGGAAGACAAAAGTCAGCTGAGTGTTTATCTTTATTCATGAAAACATAACATTTACACGGGAGAGCAGCGGTTAGAGCGGTCGCCTCGCAGCCAGCAGGTCGTAGGTTCGCCCCCTGTCTACTCTCTGGGTACTGTTTCCTCCCACAGACCAAAAATGTGTTCATAAATTGTCCCGAGGTGTGGACGGTTGACTTACTGTGGACTGGACACCCGTCCAGGTTGTCCCCGTGTTTCAGACTGCTGGACATGCTGCTCACTGCCAACAGGAAGTTAAATTTAAAGATAAATTTATTGTTGTGTAATTTGAGACCATTTTTATTGTTTAGTTTTGTTTGTTCTATAATTAAATGAATTTAATAAATTATGAATTATAAAATGATTAATTATATTTAAATTATAAGAATTCATGTTCATGTAAAAATTAAATTTTGACGCTTTGTTTTCAGAAGTAACACTGTAAATATTCTTAAATAATTTAAAGACTCAAAATTAGATTTATCAAACATCAAATTATTTTATCACAAATGTTTTAAAACTAAAATGAAACATGAAAAAATTATCAAACTGAGGAGAAATCTGAAGAAATGAGATTAAACTCTAAAATCTGTATTTTACTTTGATTGTTTAAAATTACTGAATTGTTTTTATAGTTTAATTTTATTTAAAAAAAACGGGAAATAATTGAAAATTATTGTTAATATGTGTGCCTCTTTGTGGTAATAAATAAATAAAACCAACATTTATATAAAATAAAATAACATTTAAACAAAATTATAAAAACAAACTGAAATAAAATCTTCAATTATTTGACAAAATATGTTTTAAAATAATTTTATGCTGAAAATTTCACCATTTTACCCAAAATCAAATAAATCAAATAAACTCTGGTCAGATGAATGTGATTATTAAAATTATTTGATTTAAACATTTAAACAAAACAAACAGAAATAAACTGTTGAGTTTTCAGCTGTGAACAAATTTATATATTTTATATTAAAAAATTTTTTTAAACATTGTTGGACCTTTAACAAATGTTTTGTAGAAATATTGAATAGATTTCAGCAGAAGCGCATTATTTGTAAAGAACTGTTAAAAATTAAAACCCGACTCACGTTTTTCTCTCTTTTGTCACGAGGCTTTAATGGACGAGCAGAAAACAACACAGAGGATCAAAGACCTGCTCCAGGTTCAGGCTTTGGTCCTGTCCAGCACCGGACCCGGTCCCGGACCCGGAGCCGGCAGCATGCAGCAACAGAACCAGAACCAGCAGCGAGTTTCATCACAACATTTAGACTGAGATGATTTTGTACAAAGTGCAGAATTAGCTTCATTCAGGTCGGTCTCTTTGATCTAAAACAGCACAAGAGGAAACATCAAACACTAAACATCAAACAGAAACTTTTGTTTTACCGCCTTTTTCTTTGTACTTTGGACCGAAAACACAAACACGTCATCACGGCGTGATCCACGGAACAAGTCCGAATGTCCTGGACCTTAACCGAGCCGGTCCGACAATACCGGGTCCACGGAGCCTGTCCTAAAATCCTGGGGCCACAGTCCTGGTCCACCGAGGTCAGAGGTCAGTGCACCGTCACTGCGGACCGCAGAGCCTCGGGAGGGGGGGCGGCCGGGCTGCTCCGGCCGGTCTGCGGGGAGGGGGGGCTCATGGACCGGGGCGAGTTGGCCAGGAATGCCGGGATGTGGACCGGCAGCCCCGGCAGACCGGGCGGGGGTTTGATGGGGACCGGATGACAGATGGATTTGAGCGGCACGCCGTAGGCCGAGTAGTCCCCAGGGGGAGCCACGGAGAGGGGGGCCGCAGACTCCATCACCCCCGAGCCGTACATGTGGGTCCAGGCCGGGCTCAGCTGGGGGTGCAGCGGGTACCCGGCACTGGGGAAGGCAGCCAACCCCCCCGGGATCCGGTACTCTCTGGAGATGATGTTCTCAATGGTGAAGGGGGGTTTGAAGCCGGAGCTCATGGTGGACCCGGTCGGGACCGGGACCTGGACCTGCAGCGCGCTCAGCCGCAGCTTGGCCTGCTGCTGCAGGTAGTGGCCCTGCAGGGACTCCGTCCCCGGCCCGCTCAGAGGGTCCGACACCTGCACCCCGCCCACCTTGAAGCGCTTCCGGCGCCGCAGGAAACTCCCGTTCTCGAACATGTCTCCGCAGTTCGGGTGCAGAGCCCAGAAGCTGCCCTTGCCGGGCTGGTCCGGCCTGCGCGGGATCTTGATGAAGCAGTCGTTGAAGGACAGGTTGTGTCTCAGGGAGTTCTGCCAGCGCTGCGTGTGGTCCCGGTAGTAGGGGAACCGGTCCATGATGAACCTGTAGATGTCACTGAGCGGCAGCATCTTCTCCGGGCAGCTCTGGATCGCCATGGCCGTCAGGGAGATGTACGAGTACGGAGGCTTCTGCTCGCTGTACGTGTTCCTGCCGGGCCGGGGCATGCTGCTGCCGGACCCGGACCAGGACCAATACCAGGACTGCTGCGGTCTCAGCTCCTCAGTGCGTCTTCACGCGCCGCTTGGAGCCGGGACGCGCTCCGGGACGCATCGTTGTCCCGGTCTGAGGAGGGACTGGACTGAGTTTAAGTTCAGGAAAAGTTTAATAAAACTTCCTGTCCTCCACCTGTCCACTACCTGTCCTCCTTCCAGGGTCTGTCCCGGTATGTCCCTGCCGGTTCCGACCCGCTGTGCCTCCTGTCTGCTCCTCTCTGAGTCCACAGGAGCGGCTTTAATGGGACGCTTCTCCGCGTCACGTGACCATAGAGCTGAGGCTGAGCTCGCTCACGTTGGAGCGTCTGTAGCGCGCGCTCACAGGGACGCGCTGAACCAACAGACTGATGGGAGGAAAGGCCTGCGATGTGTGTGTGTGTATGTGTGTGTGTGTGTGTGTGTGTGTGTGTGCTCGCGCGTGTTTTTATGATCCAGATGGGTTTTCCTTGTATTCCAGCGGAAGGTGCCGCGTCCATGCAGGACCAGTATCCAGCTCCAGACCAGATGCTGTTAGGAGATTCTGACAGAACCCGCGGGGCCTGGGCTGGTCCAGAGTCCGGATCAGATGAGGTAATTCAGTTTCAGAGAATTTCTTTCGGAACAGATGAAGGTGAAATTAATGTTTCAGCAGAAAAACTTTATTTAATTTTTTTATTCAGCCTCAGATCAGAAACATTTATTAGAACTTAAAATAAAATAATTCATTTCACTTTATTCCTGTTGTAAATTAAATATTGTATCCATTATTTTCCTGAATATAATTAAAAATAAAATATTTTTCAATTATCATTGTTATTATTATTATTATTATTATTATTATTATTATTAATATCATTACACTGATACATTTATTATTTCATGTGACAAAAACATGAAATATGGACAGAATGAATAAAATGACTTTATTAAATAAATAATAACTAATATGAATAAATTATGTTTGATTTGATGAAGTTATTAAATGAAATGGTTTATTTAAATTTTAAAGGTGTTTCTAACCTAACAGTCGTCAGCTGGAGTCGTGTTGGAGCTGAATTTAATAAATGTGTTTCTTCTTTCTGTCTCATTTCTCATCCTGATGAGCAGCAGAGGGAGGATTAAAGAATAGCTCTGACCTTTGACCCCTGAGCTTGAAGGAGACACTAGACAATTCGGAGCTTCAGTAATTTATTCTGTTGTTGTTTTGATTTAGAGCCGAATTTTCTCATCTATTAATATAGTTTTTTTTTTTTTTTTCAAATTCAAAGACAAACTAAATCCTAAGAAACATTTTATAGCGATTTTCGTTTGAACGAATTAAAACACTTACAATGTTGAAAATGTTATTTATTAAAAATGTTAAATGTATTTCATGTTTGTCTGTGTTAATATATTTAATAAACAAAAACAAACGTCATTCTTTCTTTTTTTAATTGTACTTTATATTAAATAAAAAAGAAATTTCAAGAACTGTTGTTTTTTCAAGATTTTAAAATAATTTATGTTAATTTCTGTAAAAAAAAAACTGTCAGCAACTAATCAAAAATTAATCCTAATAAAAAAATAACACAAGTAAACAACTGATGTGTTTGTGTCCAAACTAACAAACAAGTGACATGTTTACAAATGAAATCATTTCTCCTGAGCAAAGCACAGAGTTTAAAGTCCTCTGATTGGTTGCTGAACAACCAATCAGAGAACTGCATTTCTACAAGCGTCATTAAAAATCGACAAGTTGTTTTATGCTGGAAACAATGGTGGGTTGATTATCTGTTACAGAGCTTTACAATGACTGATTCTGGATTTAAAATCATTTTCTTCCTTCTTTCTTTTTTTTTTTTTTTTTTACAAATCCATAAACTGACCACTGCCTTCAGATAACTGTCACTGCTGCAATTAGAAACACCGAATCTACAGAAAACCAAACGGTACATCATCAAGAAGTCAGAAACATGGTTCACAACATGACTGAGGACAGAGTTTATAAAAAAAACATATAAATATTATGCCGTGAAGATTATTGTCTCTAAATTAAACGTTTGCTCTCCTTTAAGGATCAGAACAGCCAACAGACCATAATATGTAGTGCAGATTATGTTTAACTATCCGCACCTAAATTAGATTAAAATGTTTATTATCAAAACGTTGTTATTCAAAAGATTAATTTATTTACAGCACCATGAAGCACTATGTTTGCAGTGATCTGACTGGAGTGATCTGTCTGCAGTGAACTGACTGGAATGAGCTGTGTGGATGAGCAGTCTGGAGTGAATAGTCCGCAGTGATCTGTCTGCAGTGAGCATAATGATGTACGTTTTTCTTCTGAGTAAATGTTCTGCTGGCAGTCATACTTCAGATAACTTCCTTCTTCTGGAAGCCATTGCATGTTTTCTGTAAAGGACAGCACTGGACACACTAACTTTTGTGTACACTGTTCCCCTCTGGAGGACACTACAGGACCCAAATTACTGAGGTACAAAACTGAAGAGTTTTTAGCCAACAGTCTGATCCCTTCTTCATCCCTCATTACCACCACAATTCCAGACTGCTTGACTTAAACAGTCAGTGAATTCACTTTGTCTTTTAAATTTCTGTAATTCGTTCATTAATATTAATTATATTCTTCTTCATACATTATAATTACTCATGGGGTTCCTCAGGGTTCAGTGCTTGGACTAATACACTTGACATTTTTCATGATTCCATTATGTAAAGTTATTAGACATCATGAGTACAATTTTCATTGTAATGTTGATTAAATTTTTATTTCTTCATGAAGCATCATTAATCTAATCAGTTACTGAGATTATATAAAAATCTGGATAAAACCTTATTTAGGTCATGAGAGGTTGTGACAAAGTGGATATTTAATGTAATCTGCTGGTTTTCTTGGATAGGTGAGGAGATTTTTTTTTAGGAAATAATTAAAAACAGGAAGTGATTTGGCCTGTCTGATGTGAAAAGTGAACTCATTCCACAGTTTAGTGGGAGCAATTGAAAACGCTCAGTCACCAGCCTCCTCTTTGACTTTGACACAACCAAAATTAATTGATCTGCCAATCTGGGACATACAGCTGGAGCAGGTAATAATAATAATAATACTAATAATCATACATTTTATTTGAGGGCACCTTTCAAATACCCAAGGTCACCTTACAAAAACAAACAAAAAAGAAACAATTAATAAAAACAGAATAAACAACAATATAAAACAAGTCATGATATGACAGCACTTAAGACCAAGTTAAAATGAATATGCCTGTTTGAACAGGTGTGTTATCAGCTGTGATTTAAAAGAAGGGAAGCGAGTCTGTTTTCCTGATGAAGGGATGGAGTTCCAGAGCCGAGGAGCAGGTGACAAGACGGGCACAAACCATAGTTATCATATAATCACTAGATACAGCATTGACCGCTATCGCCTATTGGCGCTGACGAGCAGTAGGGCCGCCATCTTGGAACGGTCGACCGCTCCACTCATTGTAACCTGTTTGACGGGAGCAATGAAGTACTTGCGCGTTTAATCAGTCATAGCTAAATACTAAACTCATTCTCACAATTTTTTCCTCTGTAAATCTTATGAGTACGGCGATTAAAGCTGAACACATGGTTCAGCGTATTTAAATATTCTTGGTGGGGTTAACATTAACACTAATAAAATATTCTTATGACACGTTTGCAAAACTCAGTCACTGATACATTTTTATTAAGAT